TCCAGAAGAGCTTAAAATGAAAACAGCGTTAAATTAAAGTGTTCAAGTAACAGCAAATGGCACTACTGTTTTGTTAACTTTCATGTAAGTCCAAATACAATCAGCAGGACACTGCAGGGAGTTGAACCCAATCCCAGTAAACTGACAGTCTGTTATGTTACAAACACTGAAGCACATTCACACACATTCATTTTCTTAATGATCTTTAAAGGCTTACATTTATGATTGTATCGGATGTACACTCAAAACATGCTGCTCGCAGCATTTAATTGATATTATCAGATATTATTGATATTATCAGCTTTAATTGATATTATTTTTAGATGACTGGAGGTCGTCAGCGACCATATATACATCTGTGTGTGTAGCATGCATGTGAATTTAAATATGAATTCATACACGGACATCAGCCTCTTTGGGGATTTGAACAGACGATAGTTGTGGCAAAGCAGTGGTGATGTAATCCCTGTGCTCTCAGTGGAGTCCAGCTGTGCCAGAATAATACTTCAGCAGGCAGTCGGACAACTGAAGCGGGAGGGTCAGAGGAGAAGCTGTCAGCTTTTTAATGTGTTATGAATTGTGTGGAGCATCTAGTGGGGCTACAAGGATTTAGCACGTCTTCTTAAAACCCTGCGGGATTACCTCTTTACAGGATTAGATTTCACTGGCTACCACATCAGAGGGGAGAGGACAGGAAGTTCATAGCAGCTCCCTGTAGAGCGCTTCAGGGAGGCTTCCTATATAGCAGATGTGTCAGGAAACACTCCACACACAAGAAGCCAAAATACACCAAAAAAAAATGAAATCACAAAATGTTAAAAACTCAAAAATACACTAATACCAAATAAAAGATTGTTGAGATGGAATATCATTTGCATGCACTTTAAACATGCAAAGCAAAGGCATATATGGAGGGATGTGTTAGGTTTTTAAGAACAAAGGATGAAGGAGCCTGCAGGCCGCAGGTACTCTTCTGCTGCGAGCTTCTTACTGCGCACGCGCATCAGAAGAATGAGCTAGATCCGGTTCAAATTAAAAACAATATTTAATGTACTTCACAAAGTTCACTTACAAACTGAATTAATTATCAATAGTAATGTTGTCGAGAGCAGAGACCACATACACGCATCTCCTCACAGTCCGGTGCGGCCAGTTAGCTGAAAATGAGAGCTGCAGTGATCTGAGGTAAACTCCCTAAAACATTGTCTTTTGTATCCCCTGAGAGTCGGAAAGTGTCCGATACTGTCATAAAACGGCTTCATTTGAATTCTGTCCCCTCCCATTATCGATCCCTTGGCAAAACATCTTGGACTCCTCCTCTCTGTCCTGCTGGTCAGCTTGGCATTTGACCGTCCCACTGGCCCCATCCTCCATCGATGAGGTCGCCTCCATTTGCTGCTGCATGTCTGACACCTCACTCAGAATCCCTATCTGACCCTCAAAACTATTCTTAGTGTTTTAATACCTACAGTGACTATACTTCTATGATTTAATACATTCAATGAGTTAATATACTGTAACATATAATATCCTCTATCCTCTGACTAACATATTTATTATTGTAACACTTCTACTCACCACTAGGGGTGTTATTAAATCCTACTAATAATGCGTTTAATACTGAAATTCTCCACAGATGCCTGTTTCTTTTTTGTTGAAATAGTTTTGTTAAACTGCCAGCTAGTGTACAAGGGGCTTTCCCGGTGGGCTACTGTACAATTTGGGCTGATGCAAAGGAAAAAAATGACCCAGAGTGCTGTACTGGTCGGCCTGGTCCAGTGAGCAGAGCAGCCCGGCGTGGTTCTGGGTGGCTGTCATCTCCCATCCTGAGGTATCAGGTTAGGGTGAGGTTAGGGTCAGGTTAGGGTCAGGTTAGGGTCCCGACTCGTTTTCATTTCTGTGGAATAATCCTTTAACGTCATGACGCAGCCAGCGACGAATTGTTCCCGACCTGCTTTACATAAATATCAAACCTAGACGCTCAGAGACAATAAATTAAGATACCCATAAACAGAAGCATCAGAATGCTTCAAGATTGCCAATCAATGCATTTAAAGTGGCAGGTGGCATGTCGCTGCAGAGGACAGATTCAGTGAGACCAGTGAAAACACAAGTCAAGGTTCTGCAGCTGAAGCACAAGGCAGACGACAACAGGGTTTGGTCAGCAGGGTGATTGACTTTAGTAACACTAAAGACTATGGCTCACAGTCATTGTTATTCTTTCCAGTATTAGTGCAATAATTTGGACTAACAAGTACAAGTACTGATTACAGTACATTACTTAATGATACATGTAGGTACATAGGAACACTGTGTGAAGTAGGGCTGTCACCATATCAGATTTACATGTTTTGCATGTGACCTCAGATGAGAAGGAAGCAAGATGGCTCACTCCTTAGCTGTTCCTGTGTTTGGGGAACAACGTACTTGTGGGGGACTTGAGAAGCCTGAGGTGGGACAGGTTTATATGGACTAACCTGCTGTTACACAGAGTGCTGTTCACTGTTGTTATGGAGAACAGTAACAACAAGACTCCCTGTTGTATGCCAGTGTAACATGTCATGAACAGGAAAGGACAACAACAGTCATCCATCCATCCATCCATCCATTTTCCTCCGCTTATCCGGGGTCGGGTCGCGGTGGCAGCAGGCCAAGCAGGCTGACCCAGACTTCCCTCTCACCGGCAACATGGTCCAGCTCATTCTGGGGGATCCCGAGGCGTTCCCAGGCCAGCTGGGAGATGTAATCTCTCCAGCGTGTTCTGGGTCTTCCCCGGGGTCTCTTCCCAGTTGGGCTGGAAACCAGGCACGTCCAACAACAAAAGTCACTCACTGAATAACTCTTCAAAATTAAAATGTGTTACGACGTGCTTTAGGTCGTTCCAGTCCACAAGACAAAAAGTTAGCTCCTCCTTCTAAAGACGTGTCATTGGACTGGTAAAACCAATTCAACATTATACATCAGACTGGCACGTATGCAAAACGTCAAGGCCACGCCCCTTTTAAGAGGACAGAAAACAGATCCTACAGATTTCAATGCAATTTGACGTGTGTGGATTGAAAACAAGTTGGTATGCATTCATCTCTTGTTAAACAAATGTCGCTTTTATAGAAATGTCGAATGAATATTTTGCATCCACCACACCTTAATAAATTGAGCTTTTCGCTTTCATGACCCTTCAGCTTTGCTCCTGTCCAAAACCGTGGCCAGATATTATCCAGACATCGAAGCTCTAACTATTACTAACTATTACTGATAGAATCACGTTAGGCGTTGTCTGTAAGTGTTGTTTGGACACAACCAACCTTTTAATAGCCAACTGTTTGATCAATTTGCTGATATGTAGTTGGAGATGACAGTCTGATGCTGCTATACTGTATGACTGTAGGCTACTGCAGCCCCCCAAGCTAACGATAGATATCCATCATTCGAAGCTAACTAGCATCATTTAGCCATTTACCACACTGTGCCTCAAACGTCAGTATAAAAGCCTCGGTCAACCCGCTTTTCTGCATCTTTCCCCCAAAAGGGAGCACAGCCTTGGTGATGACGCAATGCTGATCTAGTCTATAGCTTGGAGCCATAAAACCCCTCTGTCTATTTTAGGACACGGCAGAGGAATAAATGGGAGATCAGGGTGTGTGGATTTATTCTTGGTGTAACTCACGACACAGCAACTCTTCATTATAGTGTTTTTCATTTACACCGGTTTGTGTAAAGTAGAAGTTTGGAGACATTTTTTAACTTCCTCTGTTAACACTGTTGCCCACTGCACAGGGTATTTCCCCTAAACGGGCGTGGTGACAACAGCCTGCTCTGGATGACGTAATGAATACAAAAACTGATAATATAAATCTACTGTATCTGACAATATAAGTGAAAAGAATCTATCTAGAAAAATGCAGGACTCCAATTACAATATGTTTAATCAACCACAGAATACAGGATACGAAAGGTTCTCTCCAGCAGCAGGAGGAGGAACATGAAATTGATAGAAAGATATTTCAAAAAGTACAAAAAGAGAAAATGGATGAAAATACAAAACAGTTGATGAATACAAAGACAAGTTAATCAGAGCATTACTTTGACTCCCAGTGGACCAAAACACAATGGATATACCCAGAATCCTTTAGTCTCCCATCATAATGAAAGTCTGAGCACAGCCTGTAAAAGATGTTCAGTTACTCCTGCATCATGTTGGGACCCTGCACAGCCACACAGGCTGCTCACCTGCAGAAGACAACAAGTCTCTCTGGGAATGCTTTGCCTTTAGATCTGCTAACATGGGCTGCGGTCAAAAAATGTAAAAAGATGCCCTACGTCTTCCCATATCAACATTTCCTTGACCTCAATGGAAAACGGCATGAAATCAAGGTGTGAAGGGTAATTCATGAAGATAACCGTGGTGCTAACAGCATCCAACTGCACTTACACTAGGCTATGTTGCCAGTTATTGACATGGGTCTGTTTCCGCTTGAAATGTTGCTGCAGCAAGGAATTGTGGGACATCTTTATCTCCTTTCCTTTTGTCCAGGGACTGTTCAGTGTACCCTATGCTGAAGGACATAAGAAAGGAAGAATTGAAGCACCTTGCCTTAGCATTTAGAGAATTAGACCAGCTCTTGTGGCTGCCAATTAGATACTTTGTTTCAGTCAGAAGAGACAAGTAAATGATAAGTTTATTATAAACAGATGATGTGTGATGTTAAAGGTGCTCGGACTCTACGGGGAGAATTGTAATCGAGGGGCTTCTTTCCCGAGCAGCAGCGAGATAGAATGGCAGGATGAATGAGAAATACACTTCAGTGCTAAGCATGCAAAATTTGTCTTCCTTCCTGAACTAACAATAGAGCTTCAATGTCACTCAATTAAGAACCTTCCTGAACAAGGTGGACCGAGAGTCTTCCAGTCCAGAATGACAATAAATAACCCTTGAATGTTTTTTCTCACTATTACGTATCATTACGTGGGTACGTAATGACGCACTTGGTTACGTCAGGTTGTTACCTCACCAGTCAAGACAGCGCAAGGTCGTCGTAGCAGCAGTTCGCCGTAAACATGATGTCTCTTGCTGCCCGGTCTGGGGCATTTTCCCCTTACATGCAAGCTACAGCGGTTGCTGTCGCTGGTCCCCTAAAAGCTCTGGTACCTGGGGTTGTTGTGAAGGGAGAGAAGATTTTGTTGGACCCGAAAAAACAGTTCCTCTGCCGCGAATCGCTCAACGGTCAAAGCCCAAAGACGGGGCCTGCTGTGACTGTTAGCATTAATGGTAAGTCTGTCATTGGCTCACCTTACTACCGTTAGGTAACTTAGCAGAGTCAACTTTCTGTTGTTTAAACGTGTGTATTGAAAGTTTGCGTCTAACGTCATGTCCTATGTGTGTGCTGAAATGTGATATAAAGTCACATTTATCCCTGTTAAACATCATGGAGTGAGTTGGCCATAATTTAGTTAGCTTGGCTAACGTTAGCTGCAGGCTCTTCCAGGTTGTTAGCTAGCATCTTGTTAGCCTAATTTAGGGCGCCCTACACTTGAGGTCAACATAAAGTGTGTATAACGTTGCTGTTATTCCGTGTTTGTTGGACTGACGGCAACGTTGTGGGTCGGAACATGAACTATGGAGCTCGGATAGTCTTCCGTCTATCAAGTATCGTTAACAGTAACGTTAGCCGGTGTTCCGGTTCCATGTCCCCATGTGACTTTTAGTGTGATCGCTAACGTTAATGTCAGTGTGGTATAAGGTGGATAATATTTTCATAAGTCTGGTATCTTAGAAATACTGTACTAATGGCTGTAACCAGATCTGATGTTATTGTGGTCGAATATTGTGCTGATGAGATAAATTGGTGGCTACAGGCTCTGACTGCAGTTCGGTCAAAGATCAAATCAACAACATATCAAGTCAATTATGTCATTATTTGACCACGTCCACTACATTATTAATGAAGCGGTGTGTATAGGGCTGCAACTGATACTTATTTGTGCTGAGGCTCTGTCATGGTTTCAGTATCCACTGGAGAGATCTCAGACACATTGACATATAGTTCAGGTTTTAGTCTGTTTTACATGTTTGTTTGATCTGGGTCCGTCCACGGTGGGCTGGTTGCTGGAGCCTGAGCTGAAGGACTTGACCTGGGTGATTTTGTGCGGAATCAGACCCGGTGGCACCGATGACGAGCATTAAGAATATCTATATAGAAATGGCTAATCTTCTTGCTGATGCTCATTTTTATGAAGGTCATATAGAGGCTTCCGTGTTAAATTGAGGCTGTTTCATAACCAGTCAAAAGTTTACAATATTAAGTCTTTCTTCTGTTTGAAAAATACAAATGTTGGAAGAAAGCATATTACTCACCCATCTTTTAAGTGTGTACGTCTCCAGTCTGATCTTGAGCGCACAGCTGATGGAGAAAGTTGGCAAGTGCTACATTACATGGTGTAAACACACTACGTACCTGTCGTCAAAGTTTAAATATCGGCACAGCTGCTTTCGTTAACCTGGAATTAATCTGATCAGTCAGTCAGTCGCAAATGAAATGCATAATTTAAAAAACATTTAAAGTCAATTGCCAATAAATGCAGACATTTGTATACATTGACAAGTGAAGGTTTCATATATCTGAACTGCTCCAGCACACTCCCCGACTAAACTGGCAGCACTTTGTTAGTGTTCAATGCAGTCTAACTGATGACCCGTTTGTTCTCGTCTGCAGGCTGTGCAGGGGTCCGATTTGCCCACACAGATGTCAGGGTACCAGACTTCTCTGACTACAGGCGCCCAGATGTGCTCGACCCCAGCAAGTCCTCCCAGGAGAGCAGCGAGTCCAGAAGAACCTTCTCATACCTGGTCACCGGTGCCACAACCGTGGTGGGCGTCTACGCTGCCAAGACGGTGGTCACTCAGTTTGTTTCTTCCATGAGCGCCTCGGCTGACGTCCTGGCCCTGTCCCAGATCGAAATCAAGCTGAGCGACATCCCTGAAGGCAAGAACATGACCTTCAAGTGGAGAGGCAAACCGCTGTTTGTCCGTCATCGCACAGAGAAGGAGATCGCCACAGAAGCCGGCGTGAACATGGCAGAGCTGCGCGACCCTCAGCACGACAACGACAGGGTCATCAACCCCCGCTGGGTCATCGTCCTCGGGGTGTGCACACATCTGGGTTGTGTGCCCATCGCCAACGCTGGTGACTTCGGAGGTTACTACTGCCCCTGCCACGGCTCTCACTATGACGCCTCGGGCCGCATCAGGAAAGGCCCCGCCCCCCTCAACCTTGAGGTTCCCTCCTACGAGTTTCTAGACGACGACACTGTGATTGTTGGATAAATCACACTCCTCAGACTGAGCTCTCATTGTACAACAGCTTTCACTTTGTCAGCAGCATCAGTGTGGTAGACATCTTTTCAATATAGTGATGCATTGGAGGAAACGTTGAGGTGTAATAATGCTGTTTATGTCTTGTTGCTTCTGCCAGCTGTTCACATCAATAACAACTGGTACATGTGGAGATGTTTTTATGCTGCAGTGTGTTTCACTCAGTGAACATGACGGATGTTGTTAGTCCTCTGATTACTTTACATAATGCTGCTTTTAAATGCAAATCATTTACAATATGGCATCTGAGTTAAATAGGTGAACCCTTGGAGGATGCTGTCCTCTTCCTTTCCCGCCCCTGAAGGTCACGTCAACATGAAATGAAAACACCTGCTACTCTTAAGTTATAGTTCATCTAATTTGCAAAGAACAAATGTGTTGAGGCCTGGTTAATAAAGATTTCTATTTTATTTGACAACCTGCATCCAGTGTTAAGCCTTTCTTTGCTTAAATAATGTCATTCAAAATAGTGAAATACTAGTTCTTGGCCTGTTGGCAAACCGCATCACATATCCTGTTAGCGTTAGTTAGAGGACATGAGGTGTTTGGTTTGAAGTGATGTCTGTTGCAGAGAGACGGTGGGCTTTTTAGGAATGAATTACAGAGATCATTGATGACCATACCTGAGCGAGCCAAAATGTTCACACTAATCAAACAAACTGGACTTTGGGGTCAAGTACTAAGATCTGGGCCCGGGTCGCTGATTTGAAAGTATTGTACTTAAGTGCAATTCTGAGGTACTTTTTTTGAGTATTTCCACTTAATGCCACTTTATACTTCTTAACCAAATTCTGTACCATTAAATGTATTTGATAGCTTTAGTCACTTTGCAGATTCAGATTATTAATACAAAATGTAAATCAAGTATCAATATGTATAAGTTAAACTACCCAAAAATATATACAGTCAATTTAATGAGTTCCACATTTACCAGCTACAACATAAAAGTAATTAACACATGAATGCATCCATAATTATAATCCAAAAATAAACTTTACTTTTTACTGAAAAGGGCAATTGTGCATAATGAGTAGTTTTACTTTTTGTTCTTAAAGTATATAAGTTGGTCCTAGTACTTTATTTCTTTTACTTTCCTAAGATTCTGAATGATAAACCTTTACTTGTAACAGTAATGTGCTTTTGCTACTTTCACTTTAAGTGGCAATACGTATGACTTTTCAGAATCGTGTGCATAGTTTCATTGTTTGTGTGTTTACATACAATATAGAACAGTTGGGGGACGTTCGCATGTTGCATTTTTTGCGCCCCCCAAATGCACAGACGCCGGGAGGCCTGCTCAAAAGCGAGAGCAACATGGTTGTGGTGCGCAAGCGTTCCAAAGAGCCTCATTTTTAGGAGCATTAAATGCTTCAACTTTTGGAACACTACAGTGCATACTGCATGTCATGTGATGAGCAACAACCCATTATAGCTGACAGAAATCTTTTCTTTATTTTATCAATTTATGGTAAATATATGGAGAAGTTCCTTGGATAAAAGGGTGAAAGCGACACAGCAGTTTTCCACAAGTTTCTGTGAACGGCCCCGAATACAGCATTTTTTCCAGGCATGTCACCACAGACACCTAGTTTTTAATCCTTCAAATTTATAAATATTGCAATACTTTCATCAGTGGGCCATGCGATAGATAGTGACTAAACAGACATTTATTTAAATTCAAGATTGCCACTTTACAGACCGGGACGTGACTAAAAAACACAAAAATGCCAAATATTCGCCTGAGAATTTTCTACGTCTGGGCCTTTATTGTGAAAGTGAAACGGAATGAGTGAATCTGGTCTGTGCTGCCTTTATCAAGTTTGAGAGTTCGTCTTAGTTCAGACGGCAGAGCCTCCATGTTGTTGATTTATAAATAAAGGCCAACTCAACCAATTCAGCACAACATGATTGGTTAATGCCTTTATTCGCGGTGCGAAAGCTCAGAAAAAGCGTTTTTTGCAGTGTAATATTTGCCTTCTATGCGAAGGTACTCATGACAAAAACAGTTCCAAAAATATATTGACGTGCAAATGAGACACAAAAAACCCGCCCCAGTGTGTAAAGGCCTTAACACATGAAATTGTTAGGGACCCTTCAAATGCCACACTTTTTGCACCCTCAAATCCACTGTAGAAGCGAGGAAGGCTTGTTCAATTGCAAGAGCAACACCAACATGATACGCAAGCGTTCCCCAGCGCCTATTTTTCAGGGCGCAACAGCCGCACCCCGGGATGAAAATAGTTCAACTTTAACACTGCAGCGAGCACCGCATGTTATGTGACGAGTAACAGTCAATCACAGCTAGCAGATGTCATTTTTTTCCTTCATAAATATCAGTATACTGTAGATTTATCAAGATGTTAATAATTAAGTGGACTACCCAGAGCTTTACAATCCGTCCCACAGACTTTGATAATTAAGTTCTGCATGGTGCTCTGTATGGCTCCACTGAGTATTTAAAGGAAGACGCTATTTTACATCCATAATGTCTTTTCAGAGTAGCAGAAAGGAAACTTCACCATAATTCAACAAATGTTATCATAAAATACTGCCCAATTTGCATATTTAAATATAACACTCAGAAAAATTGTAATACAAAATCCAATGTCTTAATGTAAGTAATAAACCAAGTTCCATGTTGGTATCTTTTCACCTGTATTTAACTATTGCAAAATGTATGACATTTTATTACATAAAGGCGGTTTTCTCAAAAAAGCAGAAAGCCAGAAATCTCCACTTAAGAAGCATTTACATCCACCAAACTTTCCAATTACATTTCTATCTATATTCTGAAGGGTTCTACAGAGGGGTTTGTTCATCTAACATTCATAGCCTTTTTTATAGAACATTTTATTCCTAAAAGCATTGTGAAAATGGATTTTCTTTAATGGCTGTTGACTATTTTCTGATAAAAAGAGAACTTCCCTATGTAAAAACCTTTGCCTCCAATATGTCAACAAAATGAAAACAATTTTTAAGTACTCTTTATCCAATGTTCAGATTTCTGTTCTGGAAATGTATACAAATCCATACATATTTTATAAGATAATTCCTCCTTTGCATATTGAATATACTTTTTGGAAAAATAGTATAAAAAAAATTGTTATCTAGTGTAGGTAACCGACTGGGGAAGTTTCATGGTGATATCTTATCTCGTTCACTAATTAAGGCCACGGCATGAGTAAGGAAGTTTTATTTGAAATGACTGGAGAATACAGGAACATTGGTTAAGGGTCTTGTTCGGGGGGAAGATGGGAGGGAGCTAGTTGCCCGAGGATGAGTGCGAGCCGAAGGTTGGACAGGGTCGTGTACAGTGGGCTGGTGGGGGTTGAGGGGAGGGATGAAAGGGAATCGATTGCATGGGGATGAACTGGGCCACTGTGTTGCGGCTGGAACATCAGGTATCTCTGTGGGGGGTGGGGTCGAGAGCACGTCCAGAAGAGCTTCGTGCTTCATCATCCCCCACAAAGACCTTACTGGACAAGGTCAGCTTGGGCTCTATGGATGTCACTGAGGTGCCTGTGAATGTAATTGTGGTAGACTTGGGAAGGCCAGCGGCCGAGAACTTGTGTGTGGTCTGAAATTCCCTGCCTGGATGCGGTTGTAGTGGCCGAAGTAAAGTTCGGGAGAATTCCCCGACTTGTAAAGAAGTTGGCGAAGATGGTGGTGGAACCAGAAGAGTGTAGCAACTCTGCCCGATTCGGTATTGAAGAACGGGTCTTGTGGTGAAGCATGGTGGGCTAATCTCTGGTTTACATAGGTTAGGATGGGTTCGAAAGGACTCCGGTACGCATTAAGACAGAAGAGGAAAATGGAGTGGGAGAGACCAAACTGGGCGCTTTTGCTTTGTAGAGGCCAAGTGGAGGCGAACCGTCTGCTGCTGTATAAACATACCAATCTGTAGAAGGTGCTGCGTCAGTGTACAGTTGGTTTTCAGGCTTAGTCATTTGGACTTCATAGAAGAAAGAAATACTGTTCCAAGAGGAAAGGAAGTCTCAACTCCATTTTACGGGCATGGTCCAAGACGATGAAGCTGTGGTGGGACAGGGTGGCAACAGACAGGGACAGTAAGTAGGAGAAAAAAGGGTCGACCTTAAGGGATGATGCAGATGACAAAATTCAGTTGTCCAAGCACGGAAAGAAGTGGGCACTTGGTACAGCAAGGGTCGCAGAGGTAGTCCGTCGCGGCAGTCCGTCGCGGACGGACTGCCAGAATTGCTCCGAACTGAACTCCAGAGGCTGGGGATCGAGAGGGAGACTGAACTCCAGAGGCTGGGGATCGAGAGGGAGACTGAACTCCGGGCAACAGGATTCAGATGGTGGCCCAGCGGGGTCCGGAACTGGAAACCACTGCGGCTCGGAGGCGGCGGCCGGAACAGGAGGTCGCTTTGGCTCGGAGGCGGCCGGAACTGGAGGTCGCTTTGGCTCGGAGGCGGCCGGAACTGGGGCCCGCTGCTGCTCGAAGACGGCTGCGGCCGGAACTGGGGCCCGCTGCTGCACAGCGGGAACGGGAGTCTGACCTTTCCCCTGCCTCTGTTTCCTTCAAGGATTGAGCAGGCAGTCCATCAGGCAGGGTTCATACACATTTTGACCAATGAATTGTGGCCCATCTTCTATTTGTAATTAATATGCATTCAATCCAGTTCAATTATTTAAATGAAAATCTACTCTGGCTAAAGTAGCTTATCAAGAGTAAAATAATAGCTGTGATCTATACACATCTCTGCATTACAACCTGCTGAAATGAAGGTACAGGCACCTTAACCCTCTCTTTACTTCAGGGTTCTTGAGAGCAACGTGGACTGTTAGTACACTGGCTGTGGTCATTATGCTGAACAGTGTGATGAGGACATGTGAGCCCTTGTTGCTGTAGTTCATCTCTTTGGAGCAGAGGCTGCATTTAGCATAGCCTGCCTTATCAATGTATTTAAAACACTGACAGCAGGAAGCCGTACTCGCGTCTGTTTAGACCTCCACCTTTATCCAGGCCCAGCTCCACTCACAGCTCAGCCCTGCGTCAAGCTGTGCTACACAACCAGCCTCCTCTCCCTGAAGCTCTTTGACCTCATCATCTCATCAGTATCTGGGCCTCATGTTTCGTGGTTATGAAAGTTATTCTGACCACGAAATCATCCTCATTCTACTTTGAGTTAAAAACAAACAACCTGCAACCAGATGCGCCGGTGTTCGGGTTTAACGTTAATGAGTGACCGCGTGAACTGAACCGGAACACGGGGGGGCTGCATGTTTTATCACGTTACGTTTTTTTTCCTCCTAAATCGTGATAATGATGAACGTTAACAGTCGACAAAGTTCCGCATGCAGTGAACGTTAACTTAACCCAGCAAGTCTGAACTGTAACGGAACATAACGTAACTTAAACTTTTACGGAGGGAAATGAAGATGCTGTACACATCTTAACGC